TTTTTTGCTGTGGTTGTCATTGTTGTTTAGCAGGCCTGGGCTGGGTTCGAACCGCCAGCCCCATTGTATGTGGCCGACGCCCTAACCACAGAGCTATGGGCACCAAGCCAGAGAGATTCTTGATGATTAGGGTAAGGTGGGTGTGTATATAGATTCCTGTAATAAAGCTTCGTAAGTCTTACACGAGAGCTGTATTTGAGATTTAGTGGAGTTGTGAAGGTGCAAAGAAGGAAGCAGTTGTACCACAGGGCAGGAAGGGCTTCATAGAGGAGGTAATTTCTAGCCTCAAACTGGGAAGATGAGTAGGTGTTTGTCTCATATACTCCAGGTCCAGGACACTGCACAGGCAAAGGCATATTAGCTTGAAGAAAGTATGGTAATATTGGGAACTGTAGCTATTCCAGTGTGGCTAGATTGTGGTTTGGGAGATAAGGTGTGGCAAGAGCCAGGTGAGCTGGGGTCCTCAAGGAGAACCTTGTATGCCATACTCATGAATTCGAACCTTATCTTGTCTATACTATGAAATTATTAAGAGTTTGATGAAAAAGTGACATGATGGGTTTTATTTTTTTTTCCTTTTTATTAAATCATAGCTGTGTACATTAATGCAGTTATGGGGTACGGTGTGCTGGTTTTATATACAATTTGAAATACTTTCATCAAACTGGTTAACAAAGCTTTCACTGCATTTTCTTAGTTGTTGTGTTAAGACATTTATGTTCTACCCTTAGTAGATTTAACATGTACCCTTATAAAATGCACCATAGTTGTGGCCCCACCACTTACCCTCCCTCCAGGGTTTTATTTTTTTCTTTTTAGAGACAGTGTCTTTCTCTGTTACCCAGGCTGCAGTGCAGTGGTATGGTGATAGCTCACTGCAGCCTGGAACTTCTGGGCTTAAGCAGTCTTCCCACCTCAGCCTGTTAGAAGCTAGGACTGCAAGCTTGTGTCACTGTGCCTGGCTGAGTTTGAACTGACTGGCCTCAAGTGATCCTCCAGATACAGCCTCCTAAGTGCTAGGATTACAGGAGTGAACACTGCTCTCCTCCTGAGCTTTCATTTCAGAAGAATCTTTGGAGCAACACATAGGAAGGGGGATTGAAGGGGACAGTAAATGAATTTAGGAGAACTTCAGCAGTCAAGGCTAGAGATGATGAGAGTTGCAGTAAGAATGGAACCTAGTGAGACAAATACTGAGAAATGATAGACATAAGAGGGCTTAATCAGATTAGAGATGTGAGTGAATTGGAAAAGTAAA